CCCCCCCCCCCCCCCCCCCCCCTTTACCCCCTTACCAAACAACCCCTTTGCAATGACAAATCTTTTTTGTGTTCCTAAGAAAATGAATTTGTCCCGGGGTCTCAACAAAGGGCGTGAAAATACATAAAAAGTATTGGACCTCCCTTTAGGCCTTGGCCACATCAACTTGTACTATATCACTACCCTAATGAAAAAATCGACCAAAATATCTAGGATAAGGCTCTATTCAATTGATTGGTGGTGAACTTCTGTAAGTATGAGTATGGGAAGACAACTTTTCAATGTAGCCAAGGGGACATTCTCCATAAGGACATCTGGAGTACATATATCTTCAAAGCGACAAATTATCATTTTACAACAAATGGCGGGAGGGATAGGGTGGGAGAGGTATAGGATACACATATCTAGCATTCCAGTTTGGCCACACACTCGCACTCACTCCAACACACACACTCACACTCACTCAAACACACACACACACACACACACATACACTCACACACACTCACACACACACACACACACACACAGAGTATTTGACAATTTCTTCCAACTGAATCAAACTAAACTTCAATGGTTTTATTTCAGAAATCTGAGACAGATTGGTATTCGAGCAATATCTAAACGGACCAATTTCAGCTTTGTCCATCAAAGCTGAGTAGCTAAATCTGAAATCCCAAAAGGCTTATTTTGTGGCTTTGGCCACCACTTAATAGCCATGTGAAATCTTAGTCCATGAAATCTTTGCCGTATCATTGCTTTCCAAAAGAAATCCAGGCATTGGACAGTATTAAGACAAAGAACAAAAGAATCCCTAGATCTAAATTGAGCAGGAGCTCAAGATGTCCACAATGATGCCAACTAGGGGCCAACTTGCAACTTGTGCACTCACACTCACTCACACACACACACACACATAGATTATTTGACAATTTCTTCCAACTGAATCAAACTAAACTTCAATAGTTTTATTTCAGAAATCTGAGACAGATTGGTATTCGAGCTATATCTAAACGGACAAATTTCAGCTTTGTCCATCAAAGCTGAGTAGCTAAATCTGAAATCCCAAAAGGCTTATTTTATGGCTTTGGCCACCACTTAATAGCCATGTGAAATCTTAGTCCATGAAATCTTTGCCGTATCATTGCTTTCCAAAAGAAATCCAAGCATTGGACAGTATTTAAGACAAAGAACAAAAGAATCCCTAGATCTAAATTGAGCAGGAGCTCAAGATGTCCACAATGATGCCAACTAGGGGCCACTTGCAACTTGTGAGCAGGTTGCGGGGCAACCACATGATAGGTTTAATTAGGTTAGCATAGATCAATAAAAACTTCATACGAATGTTTGTTTTCTTCCCTTTTTGTTGGGTCGGGAACAAGGTGGCTGGGGGAAGGGAAGACAGGGTTTGCCCTATCATTTGAGCCTGAAGGATTTCTCGTCCACCTACCATCATGTCCATTCCTTTTCTTTGACTTAATAAAATCTTTATTTATTATTATCGATGTAATTTTGTTTCCTTGAAGCCTTGACATCCATCTTTTGAGATTTAAAACAAGGGAGTTAGCAAAATATAATAATTAAAATCAGATATATTTTTACAATTAGACCAATTATTCTAATTCTTGTGATCATGACAGTATGACACATTTAAGCAGTTCATGGAAAACCAAAAGTTTGAAGCCGGATACATAAAATTACCTTTTCTTAATTCCATTTTCTTCATTCGCTGATTGCAACTGGGAGCGCAAAAGTCCCTGCATAAAAATTCATTGGAAATTTGGGCCATTAACTACATTCTACAACAGAAACAAGAATGAATAGGAAGAAAAAGTGGACTCTATTTACTAATAGAACCATAAAGTTTGAAACCGGAATTGTTGCCTGAGGTGAATTAATCATAAGGAGGCTATACAACTCTTCTCAACTCAACTATTTGAGATCGGCTAAAAGAATTCTGTTTCTGAATTGTGCTTCATCAAGGGCTATATTTTTCTTTAACGTTCAAAGTTATTTTAGGCCTACCCCTACTTCTTGCATTACCATCAACATGTATCAAATCACTTTCTTACCGGTACACTTCTAGGTTTTCTATAAACATGTCCAAATCCTCTAAGTTGATTCTCTTTTCATTTATCTTCTATTGGTGCTACTTCTACGGTTTTCCAAATACTCATTCTTAATTATATTATTTCTCATTTTACCATACAATCCGTCTTAACATCAAAACTATACGAGTGAGACATATTCATTGACTATGCTTTAAAACAAAATGATAAGAAACACCGGGTCTCTAGCAACATAGCCAGATACCCAAAAAGCAATATACAAGTTATGACACCCTACAGAGACTTCAGATACTATCATATTAGGACCTAGGGTTGGGGCTTATAGCCATGGCTATACCAAAATTGCAAGAGGGGAGTGTATTGGCTTGAGTACATTACAAGGAGCTTTAGCAAAGCATATATCATCAAAGGTCACTATAGTCGTACTCCGATTGTTCATAAGCAGATGTTTACATCATGGTAGAGAACAAAATAGTGTAGATCTTCTTGAGAGCAGTGTAAAATAAGCTTATATCCCATATTAAATAATTAGCACCACCTAAAATTTGTTTTGTTGGAGCATCCAACTCAAAACTAATTGACAACGGGAGAAGAGATCTCTTAAACATATAATCTAACCTTGGGTATCCCTAATCATTTGATGTGGTATAAAAGCACTTTTTACAGTGTCCCTCAGGAGGGACCCAAATTTGCATGTGTGGCTAAAAACAAACTAGCAAACATGCATATTAGGAAATCCAATTGGGTAAAAGACTTGGCCCACAAACCACCCAAGACAACTTTGATGTAAACATGCAACTCAAAACCAATTGGATTAGTAGATAGGCCCCTTTAGAATATAAACAACCTTTGATAGTCCTAATTAATCGATGCAAGACACGAGCTCTTTTTATAGGTTTATATGCTTAAGGGACCAATCCCCTCATCAAAAGTCACTACAATTGCACTCCGATAGTTCATAAGCGCATGTTTTCATCATGGTAGAGAACAAAATGGTGTAGATCTTCTTGAGAGTAGTGTAAACGAGCTTATATCCCATATTGAATAATTAGCACCACCTAAAGTTTGTTTTGTTAGAGCATCCAACTCAAAACCAATTGACAACGAGTTAAACGTCTCTTAAACATATAATCCAACCTTGGGTATCCCTAATCATTCGATATGGTATACAAGCACTTCTTACACCATCTCTTACGAGGGACCCAAGTTTGCATATGTGGCTAACAAACTAACTGGCATACATGCATATCAGGAAATCCAAATGGGTAAAAGACTTGGCCTAGACCACCCAAGGCACAACTCTGATGTAAGCATGCAACTCAAAACCAATTGGCAATTAGTAGATAGGTCATTTAAGAATATAAACAACCTTTGATAGTCCTAATTATTCGATGCAAGACCCAAGCTCTTTTTAGAGGTTTATATGCTTAAGGGACTGATCCACTCATTGCCAATTGGTTTTGAATTGAATGTACTATCATGGTATCGGAGTTGGGCTTGGGTGGTCAATGGGTCAAGTCTCTTACCTATTTGAATGTATCGGTATACATGTTTGTTAGCCCCAAATACGTGTCCGAGTCTCACGTGATGGAGAGTGTAAAGAGAGCTTGTGTCCCACAAAAGGTTGGTTTATATGCTTAACTAGCCTCTCCACTCATTGTCAATTAATTTTGAGTTGGATGCTCTATCAAACAAAACCAAGAATAGCTAGAGAGAGTCTATCTTTCAAAGACTCAAAACAGCACAAGAAGACAAAAGTTGTGCAACAAAACAACTCTGCAAAACTTGTACTTTCTCTTTTCCCTTCCTTTTTATTATGTTTTTTTGGAGGGGGGAGTGCCTCCATAGAACCTGAGATTTGAAGAAGTCAACCACCAATTAAGGCATTTCTTCAAACACCAATTAAGGCACATCACAACCTGGTGACTACTGCATGCGATCAAAAGGAAGGACAAGACTGACATGAATTTAGGCATTGAGATGGCTCAGACGATTAAGTGTTAGAGACTTGGCCTTCCTGAGTTAAATGCCATTTCAATTTAGTGTTTAGCATTTGAATTTGATCAATATGAGGTTTTCTAGTGTGATTGGGACCCAAAACACTCATAACCTTCTAGCTTTAGAAAATTTGCTTGAATATTTCATTTTATACTTGTTCATTTTCTTAAGAAAAGCTAAGAAATGAAAAATAATCGATCCCCTCCACTTCACTACCAAGTGTCATTACTTTTATTGTTTTTCACTCATGTAAGTTACAAAAAAAGAGCTTCAGGTATGCTTCACGCCCACAGGGAAATGGATGTTGATTCGGGAAGGAGTGGGCAAAAACAATTGTATGGAAACAATTTTAAGCTGGAGTACAACTTAACTGTTGTACGAAAAAAAATATTATATCTAGCTATATTTATTGACCAATTAAGGATGCCATTTACTTACCCAACAATTGGCAAACAAGATGTTAACGCACTCAAGTGGTTCAAAAATTATATAGAATTATTATGGAAAAAGGAAACCAGAATCTCAATGACCATCCTGAAGATGGAGAAAACTTTTGCCAGAAGTTGATATGCCTTTGAAATTCGAAGACTAGAGAAATGGAGCAACGAGTTATTAATTTCCATTACAGTTATATAGTTGGCAATGGTGCGTTGTTACCCTTCAAATATTTATACATATCTGATTGTATTAAAATCAAAGCCCCGCCATTTTTTTTTTTTTCTGGGGGGGGGAGGGGGGGTTAAGTAAAAGCTACTTGCTAAGTACTAGGGATATTCACCAGACTCTATAACTAAGCATTGTCAATATTCCAACCCAAATTACCGCAAACAATTTCTCAATCTTCTCTTGTACTACCTATTTAATGACTGAATTCAAGAAACACATCATTTTTTTGATAGGACTCACAGGGCTTCATTCCAAAAAATGTTGATGCCAAATGAAACAAGCTACTTCAATCCTTATATTAACAAACAATTTTTTTACACACCTTCTCCCTCTCGAGACTAAGAAGGCGAGTTTGAGCCCTTTCAATTTCATCCATTAAAAGATTGACTTCTGATTGCTTTGAGGCTCTATCTTCATCTGAACGCGTGAATTGAAACTGTGTTATGCACACAATAGAATCTGAATTGATTAAACATTGAAATTCAGGCTAGTGTATGACCTGATTGGGCACGAAGTTCAAACAACTGACTCTGTGCAAATTCATGTAATTTTTGCATAGTGGAAACGCTTTCTTTAGCTTGTCGCAATTGATCCTGCAACAATAGCTCCCTGCATAAACAGGAAGATCATGAACCATGGTGCATAGTAAGGCAAGAAAAATCTGAAGTTGTAAAGAAGGGAATCTCAAAATTTTTGGTGTCTGTCTTATGTTGAACTAGCATGTCTATCAAGAGACAATGCACAAACTATCTTGACTGCATAACAGTGCTGAAGTGTTTAAATTTCCATTCCACCATAGAAGATAATACCTCTCTTTCAACACCTCTAGGGTTTTCTGATTCTCTTCTGCCAAGCTCCGTTGCTTAATCTCCACTATTTCCTTCACTTTTTCTTCCATCTGAATTCAGATCAAAAGGCATGTCCGTTAAAAAGAAGACCCCATCAAACCAGAATGTACCATTGATTCACTATAATACAGATACTACAGAATCAAGCATGTAGTCTGCTAACATGAAATTTGCCCTAAGCCTGACATATGCAATAAAATCTGACAATAGAGTAAATGAGAATTACAACAAGCTAATTGAATACCATCTAAGCCTAATACACAGGATTGATGATGATTAACTCTAGAGATAAACCATGAAGACAACACCATATTTAGACAGGATGATCTAGTGGCTTACACAAGTATAACATTGTCACTTGTAATTAGGTTATTCACATTTTGGAATGTCTCCACGCACACTTTGACAGATGAAATATCTGAAGGAACAACATGCATAAGCATCAATCAAGCTGAGTTATATGAATTAGTCAACTAAT